TATATATATATATATATATATATATATATATATATATATATATATATATATATATATATATATGAATAACAATGTTCATGACTTCTATATAAATCATTCCTTACGAATTATTTTGATATTTCATATAATAAATAATTTCCAATTATTTACAAGATATATATCTATTTACCATGAATCAATTTCTTACAAATAAAACATTAGCATCAAATTGGTGTTAGTTTGACCCTTTTAAATTATATTTTATCTAGCAATATAAAACAATAATATGACTCTTGAGCATAAAGATCTTTTAGACATAAGGATGGGTTTCTCTCTAGAAAAACCCTATAAATCAGCAGTTCCCTCACAATACTGAAACCCTAAACCCCATCCACCTACGCGACGCATAAGGGGTTCTATGCAGCGTGTTGGCCTCGTACCAGATTTTTGGTTTGTGGCATTCAAGTTGTCCGTCCATACACTGAAGTCAAATGTTGTTGGTATGTTCCTTGGGTGTGACTATGAAAGAGGAGCTCTTCGTTGGGCTTTTAGCACTAATCATTCGATAAATATTTGCGAAGGTTTCAAACAACTACAAAGATATGTATTCTAGTTTAATTATTTTCAATTTTGTTTAAGTTGCAATATATTGGTTGAATATGGATCTATGTCTAGTTTATGAGGTTAGTGTTTTTCTTGCTTCCGTTGTGTGCCTTTATGATCATTTAGATATCTCATAACCTAACATTTTAGTAACTATTGTTTATCAACTGGTTTGTAGCCTATCGGTATATATGTTGGTGTAAAGGTGCCCTTCAAGAATAGGTCAATAGTTTAAGTTCCATTTGGGATGAAAGATGTAGGATGTGTTTGACAAAATTAGCTGGAAGCTATAACTTTTATTTGTATTGGAGTGTTTTTCAAAAACAATAGTTACAAGCTTTTGAAATGTAAAAACTACATAAGACGAGGACAAACATGATTGGGATAATGTTTAATAAATGTAATCTAGTAAGTAAATTGGTCATAGGTATTTTTTTTCTCAAACATTATTCAAAATAGCATTTAGATTTAAAAATTTTTGTTTAAAAGAATAATATTTTAAGCTTATGTTCACAGGAAAATGTCAGAAAAGACCCAATATTTTTGGAAAAGTTTCAATTTAGCCCAAAAAAATTTTTGAACAAAAAAGTCCCAATTATTTCATTCTGACTCAAATTAACAAAAAAATCATTTTTTTTTCTTTTAACAGGAAATGACATATTATCGTGTAAAATCAAATAATCGAGACTTTTCTGTTATTATTTTTTTTTTACTAAAGTGAAACTTTTCCGAAATTATTGAGATTTTTCTGACAATTTTCTTATATTCACCGACAAACTTTTTTTATTTTCATTTTTTTTTAAAACTAAAAGATAAAATTTTATAAAAGCTTTCCAAAACATTAAAAGCAAAGTAAAATGTGAAAAGAAAAAACCACATAGATTGGTCAACATCAAATTCAGTACCTATAAATAATGCAAGGAACTTCCAATAACAAACATATCTCTCTCTCTCTCTCTCTCTCTCTCTCTCTCTCTCTCTCTCTCTCTCATATGGCAATCAACAACAGTGTAACACAACTAAACATCCACCAAAGCATAGTCCCTAGTACAAAAGGAGATTCTCTGCCAAGAAAAATAAACTTTAAGGTCTTTAATGTATTTAGTTTTTTATTTTTTACTTCCTTTATATTCCGTACGTGGTACCGTCTAAAGCATATGAAAAATTGCAGATCGAACAACCCATCAAGTATTCACAACAAGTAGAGGAAGTTCGAAACCTTCTAAAGCATGTCGAAGGTGAGCCCTTAAAACCTGTGGACATGGTTGATGTTCTCCACAAACTTTGCATCAACCATCACTTCGAAGAGGAGATTGACTCAATCTTGAAAACGCATTACACTAAAATTTCCAATGGCCATGTTTCTAACCATGACCAAAGTCTTTATGAGGTTTCCTGCAATTTCCGGATCCTTCGACAAGAAGGCTATTATGTTCCAGCAGGTGAGCGGTCGTACTCATCCTTGTTTTTTCATCTTGTAGTTCTTGATTCAAAGAATGTCAATTCTGTTAAAGTTATTAATTACCAGTACAATCTGTTCGTATCAGATGTTTTTGCACGCTTCAAGCAAAAGAATGGAATCTTCCTTGAGGAAATGGCGGAAGATGTAAAGGGATTAATGGCATTATATGAAGCATCACAACTAAGCATAGAGGGGGAACGTATTCTTGAGGAGGCTGCGGATTTTAGCAGCCATGCTCTCAAAGAAATGATGCCTTTTCTTGACGAAGATGAAGCTATAATAGTAAAAAATACATTAGAACATTCGTATGAGAGAACCCCGTCAACGTTTATGGTCAAGAAATTCATCAAACATTACTCGGGGACCACCATGTCTCAACTTGCTGAGATGGAGTTGGCTAAACTCCAGGCCCTACATCGAACAGAAGTAACTCAAATCTCCAGGTAAATGTTAATTTTGTTATTACACATGCAACTTAATGAATCTACACAAAGGCATGAGAACCGATGGTTTAGATAAATGGAATAACAATCATTTTAAAGAAGCGTTCTTTCTAAATACTAAAATGAAGAGTAAATTACACGGATGTTCTGGATGGTCTTGTGGTTTAAGGTAATTTGTATATATAATACCTAACTTTTTTTTTTTTTTTTTTTTTTTTTTTAACTCCAACAAAATGAGTGTTATATCGTTCCTAATTTTTCTAAAACCCTTTTTTTTATTTGTTTTAATTTTATATGGTCTTTAATCTTTTTAAAGGGACCCATTAGTCTACAAGCCATCGCCCTTATCTTAACACGTCTCTCTCATAAACACCATCCACCATCTTTCTCTCTTCCATTGACAACACCGGCAACCTAAAATTAAAAAGAACAACCCAATCACATTTTTTTTTCTCCTTTTTTATTGCATCATCGTTACGAGATCTCTTCATTAGGTCGTTATAGCCTTCTTCGCTCTTCCATTTACATTACCTGTGGGGCGTACACGTACGTGCCATCTTCTCATTCGTTGCCCTCATCGTCTTCTGTCGTCCTCAAGAAACCCTATCTTCGCCCAATAAAAAACGCAAGCATCACACGAACTTCCGATCCAGAGAAAAACCCATCTCCGATCGATTCGATTCAGAGACGAAACTCACTCTAAAAAGTCCTCCCACCACCACCCCTCCGTCGTATTCAAGTAACCCTCCCACCACGGCCAATAGAAAGCACTAGATCGGAAATCGTCACCGACGATGAAACCTCAACTGTGATTTTAAAAAGCTTCGGTCCCAACTGCTTTTCCGGACAACTGTGGTTGGGATGTGGGATTTTATTAGGGTAAGAAAGTGGGAGGGTAATGCAGATTCCGGTGAAAGGAGATGAGGGAGGAGGAAAAAAAGGGTATGTGGTGGTGATGTCTTCTGTAGGCAATGGCCTAATTCGTCTACAAGAAGAGAGAAGAAATTTAGGACCCACATGCTAGTCTTTATAACGTTTATTAGCTTAGTTTTTTTAAATAAATTTAATACACGCATGTTAGTCTTTTTATACTGATTAGGGTAAACACCAAAAAAACCAAACTACCAGACTATAGAATGGTCGGAATTAAATGTTCAAATTATTTCAAAGCATAAGGACCATTTGTGTAAGTTACTCTAAAAGGAATTATCCTGATGAAATAGATGGTGGACGGAGTTGGGATTGGCTGAGGAGCTGAAGCTTGCGCGGAGTCAACCATTGAACTGGTACTTATGGCCTATGACCAGCCTTGCAGATCCTAGCTTGTCGGAGCAAAGATTGGAGCTCATAAAGCCAATTGCCTTAATCTTTATAATTGATGATATTTTTGATATTTATGGAACTCTAGATGAACTCGTCCTCTTCACAGAAGCAGTTATTAGGTACAATAATTATCCAAAAAAAGTGAAAACGTGTATTAAGCTTCAATAATATATATAACTTATGAGTTGAGTAGCATTGATATAGATTTTGATTATAAGGTTGCTACTTCCATTATTTGCAGATGGGATATTAATTCTCTGGAACGACTGCCGTATCACTTAAGGATCTGTATCGAGGCTCTATATAACATAACACGTGAAATCAGTGACAAAATCTACAAGAAATATGGGTTCAACCCCATAGAGTACTTAAAAAGGACGGTATGTTGAATATTGTCTATTGTATGAGTTGAAAACAGTTCGTAATTGGAACACAACTATCTCTCGAAATTAATTCTGATTTAAAGCGTTCATAATTATAAATAAATAAATAAATAAAAAATAATACTTTAAACAAATACAAAGAGTTCCATAAATATAAACGTACTTTTAAATGTGATTGAATTCTTGCAGTGGATAAACCTTTGTGAAGCGTTTCTAGTGGAGGCAAAATGGTTTGCTTCTGGACACTTGCCGAATGCAGACGAATACTTTAGGAATGGGATTGTAAGTTCTGGAGCAGAAGTAGTTACAGTACACATGTTTTTCCTTCTCGGTTGTGCTACTAATGAAGATAGCGCTACAATTATTAAGGACAACCCAGGGATAACATTTTGTTTAGCAAAAATACTTCGTCTTTGGGATGATCTAGGTAGTGCTAAGGTAATACAAATTTCATCGATGTATAACTTAAGTTTAACTTATACATAATTAACTTGAATATTATCTCATTAGCTATTAGCTATGTCTTGAAGATAAATGTTTTACTGATCATGTCCCACAGTAACATCCGTTTGTTATAAACTAACAGGATGAGAATCAAGATGGCCATGATGGATCATATGTGACATATTACATGCGAGAAAATGAAGGTTGCTCCCTTGAAAATGCACACGGACATGTTATGTCAATGATATCAAACACATGGAAACAACTAAATAAGGAGTGCCTCTCCCCAAATAAATTTTCATCACCATTCATAAAGGCTTGTTTGAATCTTGCAAGAATGGTACCTATGATGTATAATTATGATGAGAACCATTCCCTTCCTCTTCTTAAGGATTATATAAATTCCATGTTTTAGGGAGGAAATAATATTCATCACAACTTCGCAAGAAATACTTAAAAGTTAAGATTTGCACCTACTGAAACCAGTGGCGGAACTACATGGGGCGGTGGGGTACTACAGTCTCCCCAAAAAATTATTTTATATATATATACAAAATTATTTGTACACATGTTTTATGTTATTGTACCCCCAACTAAAAAGATTGTATCATATTGTTTTTAATGCAATGGATAACTACATAAAATATATGTTGATAATGTTTGTACTCCTGTATCAAAATTCCTGGTTCCGCCACTGACGGAAACGCTAGGGTAGGTCGATTCTAATATTTTTGTGAGTTTTTTTGTTGTGTTTCTAAACTTATATTAACGCTATAATAATATTTTGTTAGTGTTGAGAGTTGTATATAGAGAAAATTGCAAATTTAACTAAATTCTTTAATTACTTTGTGGAAAATAGAAAAAAAAAAACCCAAATTACAAATATAGCCATGAAAATCGCAGATGGATTAAGCCCGTCTA